ATGAGTATTCTGTTGTTTTAGGGTGAAATGTTCTGTATATATCTATGAGGTCCATCTGGTCCAGTGTGTCATTCAAATCTCTTATTTCTTTGTTGATTTTCTGCTTAGATGATCTGTCTATTGTTGAGAGTGGAGTATTGAAGTCTCCTACAATTAACGTATTGTTATCAATATGACTCTTATTTTGGTTAACAGGTGGCTTATGTAGATGGCTGCTCCCATGTTGGGAGCATAGATATTTACAATTGTTAGATCTTCTTGTTGGATAGACCCTTTAAGAATGATATAGTGTCCTTCTGGGTCTCTAACTACAGACTTTAGTTTAAAATCTAATTTGTCTGATATAAGAATTGCTACCCCAGCTTTCTTTTGAGGTCTGTTGGCATGGAAGATGGATCTCCATCCCTTCACTTTCAGTCTGGGTGTATCTTTAGGTTCAAAAGGAGTGTCTTGTACCCAGCATATGGATGGGTCCTGTCTTTTTATCCAATCTGCAACCCTGTGCCGTTTTATGGGAGCATTTAGGCCATTCAGGTTGAGAATGATTATTGAAAGATATGAATTTATTGTCATCATGTTGCCTGTGAAGACCTTGTTTTTATAGATTGTCCCTGTAAATTTCTGTTGTAGATCACTCTTGGGGTCTTTCTCCTTTTATAGAACCCCCCTTAATATTTCTTGCAGGGCCGGCTTAGTGGTCACATATTCTTTCAGTTTCTGCCAGTCTTGGAAGCTCTTCATCTCTCCATCCATTCTGAATGACAGCTTTGCCAGATAAAGTATTCTTGTCTGCATGTTCTTCTTGTTTAGTACCCTGAATATGTCTTGCCAGGCCTTTCTGGCTTGCCAGGTCTCTGTGGATAGGTCTGACGTTATTCTGATGTTCCTCCCTCTGTACATAAGGAATCTCTTCCCCCTAACTGCCCTTAACATGGTTTCCTTGGTTCTAAGATTTGCGAGTTTGACTATTATATGCCGGGGTGTTGGCCTGTTTTCCTTGATCTTGGGAGGAGTCTTCTCTGCCTCTAGGACATGAATGTTTGTTTCATTCCCCAGATTAAGGAAGTTCTCTGCTACGATTTGCTCAAATATATCTTCTAGTCCTCTCTCTCCACCCCCTCAGGGATTCCAATAATTCTGACATTGGAACATTTCATGATGTCACTTCTTTCTCTGATTCTATTTTCATGGACTCTGAGTTGTTTTTCCCTGGCCTCCTCCTTTCCTTTTTTATCTATTAAATGATCTTCCAGGTCACTAATTTATTCTTCTGTCTCACTTACCCTGGCTGTTAGATTATCTAGATTAGATTGGATCTCATTGATAGCATTTTTAAGTTCTGCCAACTCAGTTTTCATTTCTGCCCTTAGAGACTCTATGTTGCCATTAATCAATTTCTACGTTCTAGCTATTGTCTTCACAATTGCTAGCTGAATTCCTTCTCCAACATCTTGGTTATATCTGAATCCATTTGTAAGTCAGTGGCATAAGTCATAATCTCTGAGTCTTTCCTATTTTGGGGGTTCCTCCTCCTAGTCATTCTGTTGAGGGGTGGTTAGGGGAATGTATAGAATCCAAATTATTGACCACAACCCAAGCAAGATGCACCTGTTTTCTTGGGACCTTAGGGTTGCTAGCCTCTTGTCTCCCAGCCTGTCTTCTGGGAGAGGGGCCTGCCGCACTGTTACTCAGGCAATGCTGTTTGGACAGAACTGCCCTGCCCCTGTGGTGGGGGATGGGCTCAGTGAAAACCAGTTTTGGGGGGCTTTTGTTCTCTGGTGGCTTTCCCTGGCAGCTTTCCCTGTCTCTTCCAAGAGTCAGAGCAGAAGAGAATATTTCCAACCCTCTGCCTCAGAGCAAAGAGATTGCAGTCTGTTCTTTAGTGAGCTCTCCAGGCCACACTATCTCCGTTTCTGTCTGTGCTGCTGTAAACTGCTGTCCTGGGTTGTGCGCCCCTCTGCAGCACTCCCAGTCTTCACCTTCAGCCTCCCCCAGTTCACTTGGCAACCCAGCTGCTGAGGGATTCCATCTGGGGAGCTCCCCTAAAGCCCTTTCCCCACTGCTACCAGTCTGCAAGTCTGTGCCCTGTCACAAGCGTGGGAGGCTATTGCTCACCGATGGTGTAGGATTCCAATGGCCAGGCTCCCTCCCCCTGCCATTTATCCTCTGATACCTGCCCGAGGAATCATGGCTCCCCCTTCGTACCTCGAAACCAACTGCCTGCAATATTCTGTTTGTAGAGACCCAGATATATCTTCTTACATCTCAGGCTGATTTTGTGGGTGTTCAGAGTGGTCTGGTAGATATCCAGCTCAATTCCAGGACTGGCTGTAATAGGGTCCCCTACTCTTCTGCCATCTTTCCCATTTTGTTAGTTTCATTGACACTTATGATGCTGTCTTCCCATGTATGGATTAATATAAAATAGCAAAATTCTCTTAGGAATTTCATTTTAGTTTTGATTCTGCCTATATATTTTGTTTTGAAGAAGATCATTTTAAGTTTATCTAGTGGAGTTTAAAACTAAAAGGAAAGTGTTAAATGTCACTGTATAAAAACCATGAAATAGACCAAGTCAGACCCAGAGCTGCGAGAGGTCAAAAGATAAATACCACCAAATACCGGTCACTTTTTATAAATTGCTGCTTTCCCCGACTAGAAAGCTAAAACTGAGGAAAGTTATCGGCCATGCCATTGACATTATCTTGGTATCATTTTTTTATTTGCTAAAGTAAACATATTTGTAACAAGTTTAAACACCTTTTCCCACTGTCCTGTGTCACTAAGTGGTGAAAGGAAAGCAAAACTTTAAATTAAACAATCTGCCTTTCCCCAGTTGACATAAGGATAAATCATGTCAGATACTCATATTCCCTAGCTCCTTGTATCTTGACCTGGTTCCTAATTTAGCAGATTATTAAGGTCAAAGTACCAAAATATCATTTCTTAAAAAAGACTGTTTGTACTTAGTTAGAGGTCATGGTTTCACAATGAGCCTTGTCTACTAAGAAGGACTCCTTATATTTGTTTGAAAAGAGCAGGTTTTTCTTTTCCAACATAAATATGCAAGCATAAGGCTGTTTCCTTTCCCAGGTCCATGGGCGTGTGTATGGGCTCTGTCTGACCAGCATCCCTGTGGTGAGCTTGGCATTCCACATGGAGTGACGAGATAGCTGGATTACTAACTAAGCTTCTGAAATGCACTGGGATCAAAGTCGGCCTCACCACGAGGCAAGCAGGAGGGATTATTTTCGGCCAGGCCAGAGGAGAATTGAGGTCTGTGGTACACACACACACACACACACATACACATACACACACACACACAAAGCAAGGATTTTACTGCTTCATGAGACAAATGGAAAAAAATATGTTCTGGTTAAGAGTAAAGAATTTGGTGTCAGAAGACCTGGTTGGGCTTAAGTCCCAGCTCTGTCTCTTACCAGCTGCATCACCTTTGACAACTTATTTAACATCTCCAAACCTCAGTTTCCACAACGTAAAAAAACAAGGATAATAATAGTACTGCCCTTCTAGAATTCTTGTGAAACATAATCAAGACAATACTTCTAAAGTGCTTAGCAGATTGACTATCTCAGAAAAACCACTCCATGAAATCAGTCAGCAATACTGATTAAAAATATTCCAGGTTGCCCTGATCTATAAACAGCCATGGCCATCATCTTCAGCCTTACAGTCCTTTGTGGCTATAGCTGATGCTCACACACGTTGGCCCCAATGGGTGCTCCACCCTGATCCAATTCTCTCTGCTCACTTGGTGCTCCAGGGAGGTTGGATGTGAAGTGAACCTCACCTCAACACTAGGGATATTCTTAAGAGTGTGCTTCTAAGGAGGTTGACAACCTAACCCAAATACTTATAATATTTATAATGTTTCTTTTTTTTAACATTTTTTATTTAAATTCAATTAATTAACATATAATGTATTATTGGTTTCAGAGGTGCAGGCCTATGATTCATCAGTCTTATATAATACTCAGTGCTTTTATCATAATAAAATAGGCTCTAAATTTCCAATAGATGACTTCAAAATGAATTGGGATGTAACCTGTTTGCCAGTTAAAACTTTATGTCTTTAGTAGGACCAACAGCAGCTTTATTGTGTCAGCATCTCTATTAAGTTTATTCTAACAACTAAATAAAGTTCCTTAAACTGTAATGAATGCATTTTATGAAAGCCTGTTACTATTAGTAGTAGAAATAAAGTAGATTTATTGGGTGATAAGTATTTACAACAAAACAAGCACTTGATACATATTATCTAATTTGATCTTCACATTATCCTATGAGGTAGGTTCTATGGTTATGCCCTAGTCACAGGTGAGAAAACTGAGACTTAGAGCACTTAAGAAACAATTCCAAGGTTGCTTATACACTAAATAGAAGAACCTAATGACTCTGAAGCCCAAGATTTTGGCCACTACGCTATACAGTCTGTCTCCATATGATGGGGAAGTAAGGAAACAGTTTCACCCAAGACCAGAGCTACAAAGAGATCATATTCTTTCAAGGCAAAGTCTGCACTATGTATTAAATAGTATGAAGAGATTCTACTGTACTTATCATTTTAAAACCAAACATAAGCATGCATTTCCTTACTATATTGAATTTGTATTACAGAAAATCAATAAATCGCCCCAAGATCCCAAATAGCATGATCTCTCATCAATCATTTGGGTGTCAACTGTTTCATCTGTGAGACTCTAAAAAGAGATGTCTTCTTAATCCCCAAATTATAATATTAGCACTGCTAGTTCACCTTCCTCTGACGCATGAGAGATTAGTTGGAACTAGGATGATGAAATGCCAAGTGGTTTGATGCGACCCATCCTTTCTGAACATCTTAAAACAGGCTTTCAGGCTAAACTCTTGGCTGAGTTATATGGCTTTAATATGACTTAAATGACAACACAGAAGCATATGAGCTCAATGTTTGCAATGACTTTGCTTCCTTATCAAGCTGCAGTTGGATAACTCACTCCAACAAATTTCCTAAGAAATTCCTGAGAAGCCTGGACATCTGGGTTAGACAGTTCAATGAAATTTCCAATCATACTCTCTTCTGTAGCAGGTACTTCTTGGTAGAAAAGTTTAGTTCTGGCATAAAACTGCATCTCACCATTGATGACTTGTTAATGCATACAATTTCACTGCAAATGAAATATTATTAATATTTATTAATATTAATATGACAGAACAAATTAAATCTTATCATATATTGAATTGCCTCTTAGAAGCCTCTGAATTTGTGCTGTGGAGGAAAGGCATAGTCAGAAGATCTGGGTTTGAGTTCTGGTTCAGTGACTTACTCATTATGGAACCTTAGGAAAACTTCTTAACCCCTCCGATCTTCAGGTATCTCATGCATAGTGGCATTTTCATGACTTACTAACTCTATAATTTAATGAAACTTTAGCTTATTACTGTATTTTTTAAAAGTTTAACAGCATTTGCTATCCTAGAATGAAGAATGTCACAAGTTTTATCTTTGAGCTCCAAAGTTTTATGAGAATTTAATCATTAGTCCTTACTTCTAATCACAAGTTACATTCAGGGTAGCTATTTTTTTTCACCAATTTTTCAAGCAACTCATACTGAACTATCTCTTTGTACCAACATTACAGAAGATGTGCTTGAGCTCTTTCTTCTGAAAATAAAATAATAAAAAAAGATAAAAAGATTTATTGCACAACTATCTATGCCAGGTAGTGTGTTACACACATTCACATATACTATGTCACTTCATCATTTAAGAAACCATATGAGATATTATTTTAAGACATTTATTTTTAGAAAAATATATATTCTAATTTCTGAAGAGTAAATGTGGATGCATGTGGGTTTTTTGTAGATGAAAATGCACCTCTTCAGATATAAAATATTTTCATTAGAGGACATTCAGGAAGAAATGATAGAGAGTGGATGAAAGGAAGGAATTTCTGTTTCAAGACTGTAGGCTGAGTACATGCATTTGTCTTCCTTCTTTCCCCATATTCCCCCCAAATTGTTTTAATAAACTCAACACATAACAGTGAAGAAAATGAGAGGGGAGCCACTGATGGATTCATGATTTCAACAAATGTCTGGAAGACAAAGAGCAGATGGAACAAAGCTAAAAGATTTTGCAGCCTTGGATAGATGCAAAAGGAAATAAGAGTTAATAAAAAATCTCTCTACAAGCCAACCAGGGAGAAGACAAATGCACCCTCCCAAGAGCAACAGGCAGCACAGCTATAATCCTGGGTGGGGGAGGGTCTTCTCTAAAAAAATTTTTTTTAACTTAATTAATTGCCTAAGGAGACCTAAAGCAGTTAGTGTTAGAATCCTAGAATACTACTCATTTTACCATATAGATGACTCCAAGCATCTCATCTGCTCACACAGATCAGACTGTGGTAAGATCTACCTGCACATGTACAGCTCCTTGTCATCTTTTCTATTCAGGGGAGACATATTTAACAGAGGAAACCTTCCCCATTACCTAGAATCATTGAACCTGTCCTTTATCCCTAACTATGGATAAAAAATGATTTCCAAACACATGGGGGTAAAACAGCAGTCTGAAAGAAAAAGATAGAGATAAACTATTAGAAATGACCCCAAAGGAAATAGAAATAGTTCAGGAAATGGACAAGAATTTAAAACAAAACTAAACAGAAAAAATATATCCTTGGAGAGATATGAGAACTGGTGCATCCATAAATCAAAAATAAGATGCCAAGAAAGTAATAATTCAAAGAATAACAAAGAATTCTTAGAAATTAAAGTTTTGATTACCAAAAACTTTGGAATAGAACATTGAATAAATGTGTCAGCACATAATAAAAAGACAGATATGAAAACCTGAGGTAAATAGATTAGAGTTATAAAGACTTAATTCAGAAGGTCCAAACATCAAGCCAATTAGGATTCTCAATAACAGAGAAATGGAAGGAAGAAAATTATTAAAGAAATAATAGAAGAAAATTCTCCAGAGCTGAAAGTGATTGTAGGTCCAACAAGTACTGAGCAGCATGGATTTAAAATAATAATAATAATAATAATTAAGTAAAAGCCACATTTACACAAATCCTTAGGAAATTTCAAAACACAAAGAGTAAGAATCCTAGAAGTAGAAGATCCTAAAGTTATTTAGAAGGAAAAAGGTGATTGACCCTGAAGGAGGGTTGCCAGATTTAGCAAATAAAAATATGAGACAAGCAATTAGTTTTGAATTTCATATAAACAATAAAAATTTCTTAGTATATGTATACTTGAAATGTTGTATATTGCACAGGGCATACTTAAAAAAAATATTTGTTGATCCTCTTAAATTCAGATTTATCTGGAGTTTTATATTTTATCTGGCAACTATATTCAAAAGACTAGAATCAGCCTTATAACATAGATATCATCAGAGCACTGGGTGTTATATGCAACTAATGAATCACTGAATACTACATCAAAAACTAATGATGTACTATACGGTGGCTAACTGAACATAATAAGAAAGAAAGAAAAGAAAGGAAAAGAAAGAAAGAAGAAAGAAAGAAAGAAAGAAAGAAAGAAAGAAAGAAAGAAAGAAAGAAAGACTAGAAAACAGGGGCACCTGACTAGCTCAGTCAGTAGCATGTGACTCTTGATCTGGGGATTGTGAGCTCAAGCCCCATATTGGGTGTAGGGGTTCCTTAAAAATAAAATCTTTAAGAAAAAAAACAAACACTAGAAAACAAAGAAGCAATGCCATCAATATTCTGAGAGAAAATTATTTTGAACCTAAAACTTAATACCCCGTCAAACTGTGAAAGAATATTTACCTACCATGGATTCATTCTTCAGAAGTTTCTTGAAGCTATATTCCAAACCAATGAGGGTTAAAATCAAGAGAAGATATGTGTCAAAAGATAATGAAATTAACCCAGGATTCCAATGAAAAGAAATCCCAAAATGACAGATACTTATCAGATCTAGAAAGAAATCAGTCTTTATTACAACAGAAACTATAGGCTCTAGAAACATAAGTTCATCCAGAAGTAGAATGAATTGGATTCTAGGCAATAGAATAAGTAAGAATCAAAGAGACATTAGTGATATTCTAAAGAAGATATATATTTTTTTATCTCAACCATCACAAATAAAAGATAGGTGAAAGCTCCAAGCAAAATACATAACAGTACAAAAATGTTATGATCAAGATATAAAGCAAATCAAAATAGACATAATTTTCAGTAGAAAGAGTATAAGAAAAGAGAATCTATTTAACCTTAACTAGAATCATTTTTCATCAGGTAACACCACAGTTGTGAAATTGGACTACTGCACTGCTTGGCTCTTGATTGAATAACAATTACATAGTCCCAAATTTTGATTCAAAAGTTGAAAATCCAACAAACACTACTTATAATGTTTCATCATAATACATTCCATCTATGGAGTTACACCAGTATTTTCCAACTCAAAGACATTGGAGCCAATTTTTGGACCCTTGAATGGTCCTGAGTTTCCTGGAAGGGATATGAGAATCAGTTCCAATGTACATTTTCTAGAGACTAACAATATTATATACTATAGCTCCATATATATTAACTGTTATAGATTGTTTTTTAATACAAATCTTTTAAAAGTATTAAATATATAGATTTTTTTTGCCATTTTATACACATATTAACAACTGACTGAGAAAATACATTAAAAGGAGAGTCCTCAGGTTCAAAACATTGGGAACCACTACCCTACACCAATCTCTCTCCCCTAGCACTTAGTAAAGTATTGTGTAAACAGCAGGTGGCTCAATAAATTCTACAGGGATGACAAAAATCAAGCATAGCCATCCCAATAACACATGAGTGCTCCAAATTCTTCTATGTGTCTCAGAAAACCAAGCTAGGAAATCACAGCTCATAGAGTCTTCCCCAAGTTGCATGCTGCCCAGGATCACAAGCAAGCCACGGGCCAGTACTCTCGTTGATCCAACCAAAGCAGCAAAGCAGCCACACTCATCATCACCTGCTTAAGTCAACTAGTTGGTGAAGTCTATTAAAACTCTTAATCTGGAAATGGGAATGGTCCATTATGCCAGCAACATTTAGACCACAAGTGAATGCCAAGCCCAGCAGGGGTCAGACTCAATAGGTAGGTTTTTATGGTTATGGGCTTGAGTTCTCATTTTCACCTAATTGACAGGAGCATTTCACTAAAACGATATATGAGGTGTCATGTTGAGCCCCAGGTTCTCCTCTCTTGATAACTCCCACAATGGTGCAAGTTGACTCAGATAAGGTAATCAGTCATCAGCCTGTGCCTTTTTATTATAGAAATACATAAGCTCATTCTTATAGGATTGCAATGTCTCTGTGAAATTTGGGGTAGTCTAAGACAGAGTTCTTGATAGAGTTCTAGTCGTTCTTCATATAATATGGTACTTATATCTTGTCCTACATTATGGGCTGAACTCCCAAGACCCTTGCAATGGTTTACTTGTTACAAAAAAGGAAAGTAGAACACAAGTTGATTTGCCCTAAAGAAGAATTTGGATCTTGTGAACTCTCTAAGGAAAATTTTGTTAAAAGCTAAGCACTTGGGGCGCCTGGGTGGCTCAGTTGGTTAAGCAACTGCCTTCGGCTCAGGTCATGATCCTGGAGTCCCGGGATCGAGTCCCACATCGGGCTCCCTGCTCGGCAGGGAGTCTGCTTCTCCCTCTGACCCTCCTCCCTCTCATGCTCTCTGTCTCTCATTCTCTCTGTATCAAATAAATAAATAAAATCTTGAAAAAAAAAAAAAGCTAAGCCCTTATGTCTGCTGAGTATCTTCTTGTCTTTTTGTTTCCTTTTTTGTATTTCTAAATGGTTGGTTGAGGTTACTTTACACTTTATTTCAGATGTTAAAACTGTTTGTCAACTGGAAATTGATCTGAGAGGATAGGTAGGTTAAGTTTAGACATTTAGTTTGAAATGATTTGAGATAGGATATTAGATCATGTTAGCCTTTTATTTATTATTAAAAAAAAAAAAAAGCCCAATTAGGAGATGACTTTATGAAGGGTAAGACCTTCCATAAAAGAGATTTGCAAATGAGCACTTCCCAATTTAGCCATTAAAGAATTAATGGTAAAAATGGAAAGAAGGATGGAAGGGAGGAAGGAAGGAAAGAAGGGAGGAAGGGAGGGAGAAAG